TGACACCAACGATGGGGCACTATTCCTCCCCCCACTGACACCAACGATGGGGCACTATTCCTCCCCCCACTGACACCAACGATGGGGCACTATTCCTCCCCCCACTGACACCAACGATGCGGCACTATTCCTCCCCCCACTGACACCAACGATGGGGCACTATTCCTCCCCCCACTGACACCAACGATGGGGCACTATTCCTCCCCCCACTGACACCAACGATGGGGCACTATTCCTCCCCCCACTGACACCAACGATGGGGCACTATTCCTCCCCCACTGACACCAACGATGGGGCACTATTCCTCCCCCCACTGACACCAACGATGGGGCACTATTCCTCCCAATGACACCCACAATGGGGCACTATTCCTCCCACTGACACCCACGAAGGGGCACTATTCCTCCCACTGACACCCACGATGGGGCACTATTCCTCCCACTGACACCCACGATGGGGCACTATTCCTCCCACTGACACCCACGAAGGGGCACTATTCCTCCCACTGACACCAACGATGGGGCACTATTCCTCCCACTCATGCCAACGATGGGGCACTATTCCTCCCACTCATGCCAACGATGGGGTACTATTCCTCCCACTGATACCAATGATGGGGCACTATTCCTCCCACTGACACCAATGATGGGGCACTATTCCTCCCACTGATACCAATGATGGGGCACTATTCCCCCCACTGATACCAATGATGGGGCACTATTCCCCCCACTGACACCAATGATGGGACACTATTCCCCCCACTGACACCAATGATGGGACACTATTCCTCCCACTGACACCAATGATGGGACACTATTCCTCCCACTGACGCCAATGATTGGGCACTATTCCTCCCACTGACACCAATGATGGAGCACTATTCCTCCCACTGACACCAATGATGGGGCACTATTCCTCCCACTGACACCAATGATGGGACACTATTCCTCCCACTGACACCAACGATGGGACACTATTCATCCCATTGACATCAGTGATGGGGCGCTAGTCCTCCCACTGTAAAATTACAGTTATGAAGTAGCAACGAAAATAATTTTATGGTTGGGGGTCACCACAACATGAGGAACTGTATTAAGGGGTCATGGCATTAGAAAGGTTGAGAACCACTGCCCTAGAACCACATTTTTTTATTTATTTATTTCAGGTACTTATATAGCGCCATCCATTTACGCAGCACTTTACATATATATTGTACATTCACATCAGTCCCGCCCCCCCGAGGAGCATACAATCTAAGGTCCCTAACTCACATTCATACATACACATGCTAAGGACAATTTAGACAGGAGCCAATTCACCTACCAGCATGTCTTTGGAGTGTGGGAGGAAACCCACGCAGGCACAGGGAGAACATGCAAACTCCAGGCAGGTGGTGCTGTGGTTGGGATTTGAACCAACAACCCAAGTACTGCCAGGCAGAAGTGCTAACCATTTAGCCACTGTGTTGAACAAGATATAAAATGATGCTGATTATACCCAGGTCTGTTCAGGTGATATTTGTAAGTGATTGGTGCAATATAAATCAAACATAAATATCCAAGTGATAATTCGAGAGTTAAAGTGGCACACAGTGATTCCCTATGCAGGGATATAAGTCACCATATATACAGGTGAAACTCGAAAAATTAGAATATCGTGCAAAAGTTCATTTGTTTCAGTGCAGCAACTTAAAAGGTGACACTAATATATGAGACTCATTACATGCAAAGCAAGATAGTTCAAGCCGTGATTTGTCACCATTGTGATGATTATGGCTTACAGCTCATGAAAACCCCAAATCCACAATCTCAGAAAATGAGAATATTCCATGCAATCAATAAAACAAGGATTGTACATAGAACAATATCGCACCTCTGAGAAGTAGAAGCATGCATATGTACTCAGTACTTGGTTGGGGCCCCTTTTGCAGCAATTACTGCCTCAATGCGGCGTGGCATGGAAGCTATCAGCCTGTGGCACTGCTGAGGTGTTATGGAAGACCAGGATGCTTCAATAGCGGCCTTCAGCCTTCTGCATTGTTCGGTCTCATGTCTCTCATCTTTCTCTTGGCAATGCTCCATAGATTCTCTATGGGGTTCAGGTCAGGCGAGTTTGCTGGCCAATCAAGCACAGTAATCCCACAGTCATTGAACCAGGTTTTGGTGCTTTTGGCAGTGTGGGAGGTGCCAAGTCCTGTTGGAAAATGAAGTCAGCATCCCCATAAAGCTCGTCTGCGGAAGGAAACATGAAGTGCTCCAAAATCTCCTGGTAGACGGCTGCGGTGACCCTGGACTTAATGAAGCACAGTGGACCAACACCAGCAGATGACATGGCTCCCCAAATCAACACAGACTGTGGAAACTTCACACTGGACTTCAAGCATCTTGCAGTGTGTGCCTCTCCATTCTTCCTCCATACTCGGGGTCCTTGTGCCTCTCCATTCTTCCTCCATACTCGGGGTCCTTGGGCCTCTCCATTCTTCCTCCATACTCGGGGTCCTTGGGCCTCTCCATTCTTCCTCCATACTTGGGGTCCTTGGGCCTCTCCATTCTTCCTCCATACTCGGGGTCCTTGTGCCTCTCCATTCTTCCTCCATACTCGGGGGTCCTTGTACTTCTCCATTCTTCCTCCATACTCGGGGTCCTTGTACTTCTCCATTCTTCCTCCATACTCGGGGTCCTTGGGCCTCTCCATTCTTCCTCCATACTCGGGGTCCTTGTGCCTTTCCATTCTTCCTCCATACTCGGGGTCCTTGGGCCTCTCCATTCTTCCCCCATACTCGGGGTCCTTGGTTTCCAAATGAGATGCAAAAGTTGCTCTCATCAGAAAAGAGGACTTTTTTTCCTTTAGCCCAGATAAGACGCTTCTGACGTTGTTTGTTGTTCAGGAGCGGCTTGACAAGAGGAATGCAACATTTGAAGCCCATGTCCAGGATCCGTCTGTGTGTGGTGGCTCTTGATGCACTGACTCCAGCCTCAGTCCACTCCTTGTGAAAGTCCCCAACACTTTTGAATGTCCTTTTCCTAACAATCCACTCCAGGCTGCGGTCATCCCTGCTGCTTGTGCACCTTTTTCTTCCACACTTTTCCCTTCCACATAACTTTCTATTAATGTGCTTTGATACAGCACTTTGGGAACATCCAACTTCTTTTGCAATTCCCTTTTGAGGCTTTCCCTCCTTATGGAGGGTGTCAGTGATGGTGTCAGGTCAGCAGTCTTTCCCATGATTGTGATTCCTACTGAACCAGACTGAGAGACCATTTAAAGGCTCAGGAACCCTTTGCAGGTGTTATGGCTGAATGAGCTGATTAGAGTGGGACACTTTGAGCCGAGAATATTCCACCTTTTCACAATATTCTCATTTTCTGAGATTGTGGATTTGGGGTTTTCATGAGCTGTAAGCCATAATCATCACAATGATGACAAATCACGGCTTGAACTATCTTGCTTTGCATGTAATGAGTCTCATATATTAGTTTCACCTTTTAAGTTGCTGCACTGAAATAAATGAACTTTTGCACCATATTCTCATTTTTCGAGTTTCACCTGTAGGTGATATTTATACAAATGTCCACAGCAACCGGTGATTTCACATCTATCGATAACACACACAATTCTTCAAAGCATGCTCCTTTGTTGGTGCAGGTGGTGAGTGATAATCCTAAATGGTTGGCATGCCCGCTCACCTTCCCCCTGCGACCCACAGGGGCCACAACGCCGTATGGATCACCCAGGATCCTGCACGCTCCTTTCAAAGACACAGATTACTCCTCCAGCCTCAATACTCTTTAATCCACCTTCAGTTGTTCCTCCATGGGCAGATGGCAATGTATATACCTGTATATAAGCTCATGAAATGGGATCATACAACAGAAACACAAAGATCCTCCATAGTGCAAAACTGTATATCAGGTTTACCTCCCTAGCGGTCTGATTATGTCCATATTTCTGTGCTCAAAGCGGTACATTTTTTTGCATGGAAATATGTATTTTGTTTTATTGTAGCCTGTAATTTTTAGGAATAACTCACTGAAATCTGTCCGAACAAGAGTCTAGTAAACATCCCGGGGATGTTAAATTTGAAACACGAAATCATAAATTATAATTTAATAAATAATCATAAAATATAAAAATATATAATAATAATAAATGTATTTCAATAATATAATCAAACCGAATTTCCCCCACCAATCATTATCACTCAATCCTGCAAGTGGTTCTGATTTACTATCGCTGTTCTCTAGCCGGTGTGTTTAGTGGTTTGCATTTTTTGCAGACATGTTTAACCTCCCTGGTGGTCTGATTACGTCAGATTTGTGGTGCTGAAAGCGGTACCAGGGGCGGACTGACCATTTGGAAACTCGGCACTGCCCGAGGGCCCGGGGTCAGTAGGGGGCCCCATGAGATGCCCCTGGTACCTTTTTCACAGGCTGTTTTGAGTTTGGGCAAGGACACAGGGGCCGTATGATCCCCTATTGCCCGGGGGCCCTGTAAGTTGTCAGTCTGCCCCTGTGCGGTACATTATTTTGCATGGAAATATGTAGTTTTTTTTATTGTAGGCCTGTATTCTTAGGAACAACTCACTGAAATCTGTCTGAACAAGAGTCTAGTAAACATCCCGGGGATGATAAAACTAGAAACACGAAATCATAAATTATAATTTAATAAATAATCATAAAAAATAATAATATAATAATAATAAATGTAATTCAATAATATAATCAAACCAAAAACACTGAAATGAAATAGAGCGCCAAGTTCGCACATCGCTGAGCTCAGTCGCAGAATCGTTTTCAGTGTCTGATGAGGAATTTCCCCCACGAATCATTATCACTCAATTCTGCAAGTGGTTCTGATTTACTATCGCTGTTCTCTAGCCGGTCTAAAACCGCGTCTGACCTAAAGGGACGCTTTTTGGACGCCATGGACGTTTCTCAGTTTCCAGGCAGAAAGAACAGTAAAAATGCAGGCAGGGCGCCGGACAAAGCACTCGGGACACAATGTATGTGACATGGGTTGATACAGGAATGTTATACTATGTGATTTTAGTGTATTGAGTGAATGTCACTTTTTGTCATTTTCAAATGTCCCGCCTTTCCATCCCCCATACGTCTCGAGGCTCGCAGGGGACGGAACCCAGATGACAGATGCTGGCATCCGTCTGAGTACATTGGCGGGGACACTGCAGGAGGGACATCGTGGGAGCGCAGGACAAGGTAAGTGACCGAGGGATCCCGGAGCAGCGCTGCATTGTATTCCCGAGTGTAGCTCGGGGTTACCTGTCAGGGCTCCAGGTATGACCAGAGGTGTGTGGACTGACACAAGGAAATGCAGGCTTCAGGTATAGTATAAACAATACAATTTATTAAAGACTAAACAATACATAAACGCAGTGCAAGACTAAACATAAACACAATGCAAACAAACCAAACCTCCAACAGATAACAATAAGAACAATACTAAACGTAGTCGGGCAGGCCGGGTCAGTAGCAAACGGCAGGCAAGGTACAAGGAGCAGGCGGAAGAGTAGTCAGGAATAGCCGAGGTCAGGACAGGCGGAGTTCGTTCAGAGTCAGGATCAAAGCAGGATCAGGCAGGAAGCAGACAGGATGCAGGTACAGGGGCTCATGGGAAACATACACCAAGGCACTGATCACAGGCCTGGTCCTGCTTAAATACACCTCCTGCAATCAGCCTCAGGTGATGGCCTGATTGCAGGAGTGAGATTCTGGCTGCTGAGAGCAACCGCTGGCCGGCCTTGGTACTGCAGCCCACAAGGCAGGTGAATCCCACCACCATTGGCGAGTCCATTCCTGACATTACCGCTTGTGGTGCTGAAACTTTACCCTGAGCTACAATCGGGAATACCGCCAGGGGGATTAATGTAGATAAAAACGCCAAGTACAAACTCACAATTTAGCAGAGAAGACCATTTGCAGTGCGTATCACCTTCTTCTGGGTGTACTGAGAGCACTCTGGTGTACCAAGATGGCGCTGAACCGGAAGTTATCTAGTTGTCCATCTAAAGGTGAGGATTGGATGTCAACTGCTGTTTTCTGTCTCTATTAGTTATAGCAGTGCAGGAGGATCTACCAAATACAGTTGGCTTTGATATCCCCAACCTATAAAGTAACACAACTTTTTATCCTGTACAGAGTTTACCGCACTCCATAGATGCTGTATAGGGTAGACAGGAAAGAAAATTCCGAATGTGTAAAATGTGCTCAATCTCCTGACTCTTTTATACACCAGTTTTGGAGATATCAGAAACTATATCGGTACTGGCAAGATGTGATAGATACGATAAATTCTGTATATGATACTGCGCTGATTCCAGACCCCATTGTATGTCTCCTTGGGTATATAATTTCTAACAATTTGGAATATGATCAGGAAGTGGCCATTGCAAGATTCCTCTTTATGGCTCATAACCAGGGGCGGACTGACAACTCATGGGGCCCCCGGGCAATAGGGGATCATGGGGCCCCTGTGTCCTTGCCCAAACTCAAAAAAGCCTATGAAAAAGGTACCAGGGGCATCTCATGGGGCCCCCTACTGACCCCGGGCCCTCGGGCAGTGCCCGAGTTTCCAAATGGTCAGTCCGCCCCTGCTCATAACCTAATAGTTTCAGACTGGGTTTCACCCAATCCTCCTCCAGTCCTTTGGGGTCTGGATACAGGAAATGGATAAATACATAATGTTTGAAAAATACATCTATGCTCAACGTAATGCCTCTCAAAAGTCTTAACCCCTTCCTGCCGGCGCCTCACGGCCCTTTAAGAGTTTCAGACTCCGGGAGGTGGGGCGTGGTTTAGGGATCATGTGACCACGTGATGCGTCATCACGGCGGTCACATGGTCGGGAAAGGTCCCGATCGAACGAGCAGACCGGGACCTTTCCGTGAGTACCGAGAGCAGGGCACGCGCTCTCAGCACATATGTTTTTTCTTACATGAACGCAAATGTGCGGCCGCTCGGCGTCTAGGCCCAGACGCCGGCGGCCGCACATTTGTGTGCGGGCCGGCGTGAAGGGGTTAAAAAAATATGGAAAAAATGGATAGATACACCACGTTCAAATTTAAACTGACGAGAAGTGGGAACGCCTGCACCCTTCCTTTTTTCTTTTTTTCTCTTATGCCGTTTTTTTTGTTTTTTTTTCAATGAATGGGGTGACCTCTCTTAGGGAAAACTCTTTATCTATTGCTAATAGTATTTTACAGCCGTTACCCTGGAATATTTTTGAGTTCTTGAACTTCTGTGAAAACCCTTTGAATAGTTTTTGAAAGTTAGATGATAATGAAACAAATGTACTGTCGGCATTATTGTTGATGTTATCGTATTATTTGTTAAATTGATATTATTATTATTATTGTCATTATTGTTTATTTTTCTTTCTGCTTTGATGTTTAAATTCATGTTTTGTTCTTTTTTTCTCTTTTTTTTCTTTTTTTATTTCTATATACTTGTTATGAAAACTTTAAAATGAAATCTGAATTAAAATAAATAAATAAGCACACAAGAGATATATGGTTTGCGGTGTTTATTGATCTACAAAAGAGCACGGAACTTTCACATATTTGTAAAAACTTTTTTTCACTTGCATGAATGTAGTTCACATGTATTAACCACTTGCCCTCCAGACTATTTACTCCCCTTCCTGATCCGGCCATTTTTTGCAATACGGTGTTGCATTTCTTTAACTGACAATTGTGCGCTCATGCAACGTTGCACCCAAATGACATTTTTTTTTCCCCACAAAGGGAGCTTTCTTTCAGTGGTATTTGATCATCTCTGCATTTTTTTTTTTTGTGCTATAAACAAAACAAGGCCGACAATTGAGGAAAAAAGCTATATTTTTTTTACTTTTTGCTACTGAACATATCCAGTAAAAAAATTTAAAAAATTTAATTTCATCATAAATTTAGGCCAAAATCTATTATGCTACATGTCTTTGCTAAAAAAAATCCCAATGCTTGTAAATTATTATTATTATTATACAGTATTTATATCGCGCCAAAGGGTTTGCTCAGCGCTGTACAATAGCAAATTAATTGGTTTACAGGAAATTTATAGCGTCTACAAATGGCGATATATATATACTGCAATTTTTTTCTTCTAGTAATGGCGATCACTGACTTATAGAGGGACTGCGGCGGGCATTCTGACACTGGGGGTGGGAACTGACTAACTACCACTGACATCCCCAGTGACACTAATACAGTGATCAGTGCTAATAAAAAGAACTGACACTGTACTAGTGGCACTGGACAGGAAGGGGTTAACATCTGGGGCGATCAAAGGGTAAACTGTGTGTTGTGTGTGTTTTACTATGTAAGTACACAGCTATGCAGAGCCATACAAAGCATCATGCTGGTGCTGACAGGGGAGAGATCTGTATTGTTTACATACAGACCTCTCCCCTGTCATTGATACTAGGCAATCGCTGAGAGCCGACAGGGAATCACCGTCTGGCACCCGGTGATCGACAGCTGAGGCCACCTACCCAGAAATACAAACTCACATGATTTTTGCACAGCCCTGCATCCCTGTAGCCGTAGTTCTGCTATAAGGCGGTCGGGAAGCGGTTAATTAATTGATGATTGAGGTTGCACTGCACTTATTTTATGTTACATCTTTAGTTTTTCACTTGAATAGTTCACATTGTTGTGCTGTATATTATCTTAGGTCCCAAGCGGTCGATGCTCCAAGGAATGTCTTCCAGGGTTCAGAAAATCTGTAAGAGAAGGACATCAGCCATGTTGTTATAACTGCGCTCCGTGTTCAGAAGGAGAAATATCAAACCGTTCTGGTAAGCTTTATGTTAACCACTTGCCTACCGAGCACTTATACCCCCTTCCTTACCAGGCCAATTTTCAGCTTTCAGCGCTGTTGCACTTTGAATGACAATTGCACGGTCATGCGACATTATACCCATATTACATTTTTATCATTTTTTCATCAGCTGCACTGAGGGGCAATGGTGGACACTGCTGGGCACAGGTGGGCAGAACTGCTGGGCAATTGTGGGTGAAACTGGTGGGTACTTGTGGGCAGAACTGGTGGGTGGCACTGCTGGGCACCGATCATCAGGGCACTGCTGGGCACCGATCATCAGGGCACTGATCATCAGTGCCCTGATGATCGGTGCCGATCCCTGCTCTGACAACTGGCAACTTGGCCAATCAGTGATCACATGATCGGGACCTCACACAGAGGTCCCATACAGCGATCGGTGTTCCGCTGTGTCTGGAGCAGGAGCGGACTGACCATTTGGAAACCTGGGCACTGCCCGAGGGCCCAAGGTCAGTAGGGGCCCAATGAGATGCCCCTGGTACCTTTTTCATAGGCTTTTTGAGTTTGGGCAAGGACATGGGGGCCCCATGATCCCCTATTGCCTGGGGGCCCCATGAGTTGTCAGTCCGCCCCTGGTCCGGAGGACACAGAGGGGACTAGATTGCGGTGCTGCGTGCTTCTAGGGACGTTTATAAATGGCCACCTGCCCCTGCACTGCTCCCGGTTAATTGAAAACAGGTCAAAAGCACTTCCTCCCCATCTGTGAGGGATAAGTATGGGCGTCTCTGTGGATCATAGGACTCTCTCTTCTCTCTCTCTCCTCCACTGCACACTGGTGTAAGAATGCTCCTATAACCGATGATCTTTCAGGAGGAGCTCACAGAACAGAGGGACCCGCCATAGTGTAGTGTGTAAAATACCAAGTTTTATTAAAATTACACTTATATTTAACAAGATGAAATGTTGCTATAAAATACTGATAAAGTCCCTGGCCTTGGACAAGACCCGTGTGCAGCCCGTCGGCTCTCCTTTCCCCCAAGCTCCTCCCCACGAGTATCGTCTCCAATCACGTGACTTCCTCAGGGGTCTCATATGGTCTCCCACACTTTTGCACTTATTTAAAAGGAATGGAAAATAGATTACACTGAAGAGACCAAAAGTTGTAAAATAAAGGAATTTCATTGTTACATACATATTAAGATTACAGATAGTGTAAGGGATCACCGCGGCGCTGGTCCCGGCGTAGGTGCAGTATGCTGACTCGCACGGGGATGCGGGCGCTAGGTCCTGGCCGGCCAGGGCAACAGAGCTCGCACATACGCACTAGGGTCCGCGGGTGCGCACCTGGCACCAATGACAGCGCAGGGTGCCGTATTTAAATCCCCCCTGTGCTTTCACTGGTTGCCGTATGGTCTTATCTGAATCCTGTTCCTGTTACCTGTGTACTTACGTTTGTTGCTGACCCGGATTACGCTGACCTTGCTGATTTCTCCTGTCCTGACCCTTGGCTTGCCTGACTACGCTCCTGGATGCCCCCTTATGGATCTGACCTCTTGTTGCTGACCTGGCGTGTGCCCTGACTATTCTCTGCCCGCTGCTTTGTAACGCACCACCGACCCCACGGCTACCGACTCGACTTGTCTGACCTTGCACCTGCTCATCCCTCCATCCATCCCATCGGAATCTCCCGGCCTCCTCACATCAGGCTCTCACCCTGCAGGAACCTCTGGCGAGCTCCTCTACCGCTGGTGGGTATACCTGGGGGCTGCGACCTGGTCTCGGTTCGCTCCAAGTCCATCCCCACCATCAGGGGCCCTGGTGAACAAGTGAACCGGGACTTAGACTCCGCGCTCTGGGGAAACCTGACCAGTGGGCTGCTAGAGGTACCTCCAGGCGGTTCCTTACAGATAGGCTCTGTCATGGCCATCACTGAGGCTGAAGGTTCTTTTGTTTTTCAGTAGATAGCACCTCATCACACTTTATTCATCACTAAAGCTTTCTTCAAATATTCACCATATATAGATAGATAGATAGATATAGATAGATAGATAGATAGATAGATAGATAGATAGATAGATAGATAGATAGATAGATAGATAGATAGATAGATAGATAGATTAGATAGATAGATAATAGATAGATAGATAGATAGATAGATAGACAGATAGATAGATAGATAGATAGATAGATAGATAGATAGATAGATAGATTATAGATAGATAGATAGATAGATAGATAGATAGATAGATAGATAGATAATAGATAGATAGATAGATAGATAGATAGATAGATAGATAGATAGATAGATAGATAGATAGATAGTAGATAGATAGATAGATAGATAGATATAGATAGATAGATAGATAGATAGATAGATAGATAGATAGATAGATAGATAGATAGATAGATAATAGATAGATAGATAGATAGATAGATAGATAGATAGATAGATAGATAGATAGATAGATAGATAGATAGATAGATAGATAGATTAGATAGATAGATAGATAGATAGATAGATAGATAGATAGATAGATAGATAGATAGATAGATAGATAATAGATAGATAGATAGATAGATAGATAGATAGATAGATAGATAGATAGATAGATAGATATAGATAGATAATAGATAGATAATAGATAGATAGATAGATAGATAGATAGATAGATAGATAGATAGATAGATAGATATAGATAGATAGATAGATAGATAGATAGATAGATAGATAGATAGATAGATAGATATATATAGATAGATAGATATATGTTCCAACTTTTTTTTTGTTTTGTGTGTGCTTTTAACTCATATTTATTATTACATCTTAATTCCTGAAAACTAATTTTCAGGGAAATTACTGAAAAAAATATTCAATACTTTCAAATATCTGCAGTCTTGGTATACCATGCCTAATGATATTTTCACTTATTTTTACTCTACAGACAGTAAAATCTGCAAGAAGTGCCCTGAAAATGAATGGCCTAACAAAGCTAAAAATATTTGTATTGCCAAGGTCAACGAGTATTTATCATACAAAGAGGATATTCTAGTTTTATTTTTTTTCAGTAACTTCAGTCGTATTTGCTACAACATCTCTCTTTATACTTGGAGTATTTTCTTGGTTTCGGAGCACTCCCATAGTCAAAGCCAATAACCGGAACCTCAGCTTCATTCTGCTCTTCTCCCTCATGTTGAGCATCCTGTCTGTGTTCCTGTTCCTTGGCCATCCTGTGGATATCACTTGTATGCTGCAACAAGTCATGTTTGCAGTTCCCTTCACCATCTCAGTGTCTTCTATCCTAGCCAAAACCATCATGGTCTTCATCGCTTTTAAAGCCACCAGACCTGGAAGTGCTTGTAGAAAATGGATGGGAGTCAAACTTTCCAATGCTGTCATGATATTCTGTTCATCCATTCAAGTTATGAACTGCATTCTTTGGTTGTCCATCTCTCCACCATTTCAGGAGTATGACATGGACTCCTATCCTGGGAAGATTATCATTTGGTGTAACGAGGGGTTCAGTTATCGGGTTCTACTCCGTGTTGGGTTATATGGGGTTTTCTGGCAGCTGTGAGTTTTGTTCTGGCTTTCATGGTGAGGACATTACCGACAGTTTTAATGAAGCCAAATACATCACCTTCAGCATGCTGGTGTTCTGCAGTGTCTGGATTGCCATGATCCCGGCCTATCTGAGCACCAGAGGGAAAATATATGGTGGCTGTGGAGGTATTCGCTATATTGACCTCCAGTGTTGGAATATTACTGTGTATGTTTTCTCCAAAATTGTACACATTTTGCTTTTGAAACCTGAGATGAACACAAGAGGAACAATGCTGGGGAAAAGAATGTTGTAAATGTAACACATTGATTTAATGTATAATGCTGTAGACCAGATTAAACATGTTCAGTCATATTACTGCAATCATCACTATTATCATCATCATGATTTTTGGTATTAACTGCCTTCTGTCTGTGTATTGTACGTAAATGGATGGAAGGTGGATGTTACACGGCGGGAGGCTCTTTTAGAACTTCATTTTTTCTCTTCCTCTTACATGCCCCCTAGCATGCACAAGCGAAAGTATGGTGACTGTGCTGTCCATTGAACAAAAACAGATCACAAAAAATGCTGTGACCAATCAACAAAATCAGACAATGTAACCAACACCTGCTATTAGCAGCTTGCTCCCACTTTGCTCTCACACACTGATTGGAGTGTGATAGGAAGGAAAGCGTCAAAATCACCAGTCAGTACAAGTACAATCCAGTACCAATACCAGCAGTACCACAAACAGCTTCATGCATCATTGTATTGTCATTCATCCCTCTACAGTACACATATCAAACACAAGGCCTGTGGGCCTAAACCAGCCCACCACCCCTGTCATGTGGCCCTCACAACCAGTTTTGCAGCCAGAACGTGGCGAGACTCCATTCTACCACCTCTGGCTCTCACCCTCTCTGCTCCAGCTCCCCACTGTCACTAGTAAACACAGAGGTATTCTATGTTTACAAGAGACAGCTTTGCTCTTGGTGGCTTCCAGAACTAACATGTCCCTGCACACATTAACTGTGGGTCATGGCAAGGACAGTACTCCAGAAAGAGAAAGAGGAACAATTTCTATGCAAGGTGAAGCAGAGACTCTTCTACAAGGAGGTACTAGAGCTGGGATAGGTAGGAGAGAGAGATATGAGGAAGCTTTGAGGGGGGTTGGGGTTGCACTCTGAACTCTGCATTCTGTTTGTAATACACTCCTGAACTCAACACTCTGTACATACCGTATTTTTCACTCCATAAGACACACCTGACCATAAGACGCACCTAGGTTTTAGAGGCGAAAAACAAGAAAAAAAATATTCTGAACCAATGGACTGCAGACACAGTACAGGAGATGACCAGAGACTGCAGACACAGTACAGGAGATGACCAGAGACTGCGGACACAGTACAGGAGATGACCAGAGACTGCGGACAGTACAGGAGATGACCAGAGACTGCGGACATAGTACAGGAGATGACCAGAGACTGCAGACACAGTAGAGGAGATGACAGAGACTGCGGACATATTACAGGAGATGACCAGAGACTACGGACACAGTACAGGGGATGACCAGAGACTGCGGACATAGTACAGGAGATGACCAGAGACTGCGGACAGTACAGGAGATGACCAGAGACTGCGGACACAGTACAGGAGATGACCAGAGACTGCGGACATAGTACAGGAGATGACCATAGAGACTGCGGACACAGTACAGGAGATGACCAGAGACTGCGGACATAGTACAGGAGATGGCTAGAGAGGTGACCAGAGACTGCGGACACAGTACAGGAGATGACCAGAGACTGCGGACAGAGTACAGGAGATGACCAGAGATTGCAAACATACTACAGGAGATGACCAGAGACTGCGGACATAGTACAGGAGATGACCAGAGACTGCGGACACAGTACAGGAGATGACCAAAGACTGCGGACATAGTACAGGAGATGACCAGAGACTGCGGACACAGTATATCTCACTCCTGAACTCTACACTCTGTATATATCTCACTCCTGAACTCTACACTCTGTACATATCTCACTCCTGAACTCTACACTCTGTACATATCTCACTCCTGAACTCTACACTCTGTACATATCTCACACCTGAACTCTACACTCTGTACATATCTCACTCCTGAACTCTACACTCTGTATGTATCTCACTCCTGAACTCTACACTCTGTACATATCCTCCACTCCTGAACTCTACACTCTGTACATATGTCACTCCTGAACTCTACACTCTGTACATATCTCACTCCTGAACTCTACACTCTGTACATATCTCACTCCTGAACTCTACACTCTGTACATATCTCACACCTGAACTCTACACATATCACTCTCTGTACATATCTCACTCCTGAACTCTACACTCTGTATGTATCTCACTCCTGAACTCTACACTCTGTACATATCCCACTCCTGAACTCTACACTCTGTACATATGTCACTCCTGAACTCTACACTCTGTACATATCTCACTCCTGAACTCTACACTCTGTACATATGTCACTCCTGAACTCTACACTCTGTACATATCCCACTCCTGAACACTGCACTCTGTACGTAGTGTAATCCTGAACTCTGCTTTCTCTACGTAATGCATTCCTGAACACTGCACTCTGTACTTAGCGCACTCCAGATACAACCGACCCTTGGAAGGCAACCATACTGCTGATGTGGCCCAAGATGAAATTAGTTTTAACACCCTGCTCTACAGTATTTGCAGGCAATTATTTTCTTTCAGAAAAAAAAACTATGTGAACAGTATGTTCACTGGAGAAAAAGAGGTTACATAAAGGACAATGCGATACACATAACTGTAGTCATTAAATGCTTTTATTAGCAAAATAGCAATATGAAACAATTGAGTAAAGACTGCATGATAGCCGTCACCTCAATCAATGACAGTACAATACAGCCTTAAAACAAAAAAATAAAAAAGAGAGAGACATCATGGCCAGGCCAAGTACAAAAACATGCTGTGAAGGCAATGACTCAAAGGTCTTCTGCCTTGAGAGCAAAACACATCGGGGTGCACCACCGGGATAAGGATATATGTACAGTATATTAGTGGGTGTCAAGGGCGGACTGACAACTCATGGGGCCCCCGGGCAATAGGGGATCATGGGGCCCCTGTGTCCTTGCCCAAACTCAACAAAGCCTATGAAAAAGGTACTAGGGGCATCTCATGGGGCCCCCCCTACTGACCCCGGGCCCTTGGGCAGTGCCCGAGTTTCCAAATGGTCAGTTCACCCCTGGTTGGTATACAATATTAGTGTTGTAAAAATAATGGGAGATGTCATGCTGGAACAGGTGTAATCTGATACTGTCACAGAATATGAAACCCAACTTAGGGAGAGGTCACTAGGTAAATACGTTCCTGGTAATGGATGTTAATGAGTAGAGTCAGTGTGCACACACGTATGTCGAAGTGGCGGCAGATAAGGCACTGGACTCAGTCAAAATTGTATATGGCCCCCTTGGCAGATTGCTGAAATCGATGTATGTAACTTCACTATATAACATACAGTTATAGTCATGTGGGGTCCACAAAGGATCAGTAGATATAGCGTAGTGGTGTCCTTAGGTATAAAGTGCCGTATCATCCACATATAGATTGGATGTACAACTCACCACCAACTTAATAAAGAAAAGTATAGTCACCCTTCCTGGGATGGATAATTCCTTTGATGGAGTCTGTTTGGCAGGTGCCATATCAAAACTCCTATAGGTAGAGCCCTGCCTTCGGGTAAGCACACCATATCCTCCAGGTGTGAGTGAGGTGTGCAACTCACCACCTGCTCCATCAGTTGGAAGTGAAGTGACCTTTGCTTGGATGAACAGTTCTATGCTGGGAGTCCATGTGGCAGCCGCCATGTCAGAACTCTCAATGGCAGAGCCCTGCCTCCAGAAAAAACACTGTTTGTAGAGGTTCTGCACTGGAGAGTAGCGTGTATACCAACTATATACACACATATCCTTACCCTGGTGGTGCACCCCAATGTGTTTTGCTGTCAAGGCAGAAGACCTTTGAGTCATTGCCTTCACAGCATATTTTTGTACTTGGCCTGGCCATGATGTCTCTCTCTTTTTTATTTTTTGCTTTTAGTTTGTATTGTATTGTCATTAATTGAGGTGATGGCAATCCTGAAGTCTTTATTCAATTGTTTCATATTGCTATTTTGCTAATAAAAGTATTTAATGACTACAGTTATGTGTATCGCATTGTCCTTTATGTAACCGCTTTTTCTCCCGTGAACATACTGTTCACATTGTTTTTTCAGTAAAGGTTTTTTGGTTATTGGACATTACTTGATATTTAAAGTGATACCCACAAATGTATATACCTCCATTAACTTTGGTATTACAATAGTCAGGGCCTGGACTGAGCAAAGCTAAAAGGGAGGGCCAGCATGACTGGGGTGTGCAGATGAGGCGGAGCGTATATTTGGGTGGGAGTATATGCAGGAAGTAAGGGGGGTGGTTACTCACCCTGATTGGTGTACGCAACCTTGAGGGGTGGTCTTTGCCAGGATTAGGAGGTGGGTTGGGTCTTGTCGGAGGTCAGTCGGAGCTTGTGTCAGCACGGGGGGTGGTTTCTTCATCCTTCTTTGATACCTGCACAGAAAACACTAGGCCCTGAGTGACTTGGATGGGATGCTATCCCAATTGCGGGCAGCGGCGGTAGCAAATAGCTTGGGGTGGCTGCGTGAGAGGCTGTCAGAAATGCTGCAAGGACCCAGGCCCATGTCACCAGGCCCCTCTCTTGGGCGCACACGTGCTCGGCGGTCTGTGCCACCGGTGCCGCATTGGGAGCCCCTTAGGGGACCCTCAGGCCCTGCCAGTGAAGCATCAGCCTGCTTTTCCTGGTGGGGGGGGCTGGGAGTAATCCTCATCGCTGGCGGAACCCTGGCGGGAGCACAACCATGACTACTCATCCCCTGCCAACTCACCTTCTTCTCGGGACCATGCGGCTGGCCCTGTGGGCTCTGGCCTGCAGCGGTGGCGGCCCTGCGTGGGAGAAGTGCGGGTCATGCCAGTCGGCCTCTGGGGGGCTGGGACCATGCCCCAGGGAGAAGAGGATCCAGATCCCTGACATTGCAGTGGGCTCGGGTGAATGCTGCCGCTCAGGAGGCCAGGATGGTGGCTGCTGGACCTTCCTTGGCAGCCCAGCGAGCCCGCGGTGGGCGGGGCTTGGTGGCTCAGAGATCCGGGGCTGCAGCGGGTGATGACGTCACCCCCATGCGCTGCCCAGGCTCTGGAGCCAGGAACCGGCATCTTCAGCTTGTGTTTTGTTTTGTGTTGTGGGGCATTGTTGGGGGTGTTCTACCTCCTTCCTCCCTTCTATGTTTTCTTTGCAGGTTCTGATGTCTGTTTGGTGTGGCTCCTGGGCCATTCTTACGTCCTTTGGGGGGCTAAGAGGGTTGGCACTTGGTTTTTGATAGGGGGGAGGCCAGGCTTTGTTGGCTTGACCCGGGCTCGGATAACGGTGCATAGGGATGGTGTGGTGGTGGCACTTTTTTTGTGCGGAATGGTGGCCTAGCAGTCCGTCACCATGAGTTGGAGGAGGATTCCTGGAAGTATTTGCGTGGGGTTGGCGTGCATCTCAATGCTGTTGGCATTGACTTGTGGTCCGTGGGCCTCCAGGATGGTATACAGCGGGGTTTCGGGTTTGGCGGGCTACACGAGTGTAAGGGTTCACTCGTGTGGCAGGGGTCGATGAGTCTTTGAAGGCGGTGCTGGAGTGACAATTTGGTAGATTGTGGGTTGGGCCCATCATAGGTATGGGTGTTCCTTCCCAATTATAAGGTCACGTTGGTAATGTGGGAGTTCATTGGTTGTATCTGGGGCTACGTAACTGTAGTATTGTCCCCGAGGCTGTGTAGTAGCAGCTGGGGGCCTTTTCATTGGGTGTCAGATACAGCTGAGTTTTGGATGTGAGTAATGGTGCCTTCGAAGACCTTTGACCCGGTTGGGATTATTACTGTCAGTTATTATTTGAGTGTATTGTAAGAAGTGTTATGTTAGAGATATTTTAAATAAATGGCTGCTATGGCCGGTTTTACACCAAAAGAGAGTCGCGTGTTTATTTAAGTGGGGAAGTTTAGGGGTGGTGGTGGTTTTTATGGATTAGGGGTAAGTATTAGCCACGATATTCTGCATGTCCATCAGTCATGTATTCTTTCAACTTTTTCTGTTCCAGCATGACTGTCCCCCTGAGTACATATCCAGTTCCAGAAAGACATGGTTTGATAAGTTTGGTGTTGACTTTACCTCAGCCTGATTGTGAGTCAGGTCCTCTCATCCAACATCAGTACTTTACCTCACTAAGGTTCTTTTCGTTAAAAGGGCACAAATTCCCTCAGAAACTAATCTTGTGAACAATCTTCCCATAAAAGTGAAGACAGGTATAAACACAAAGATGGGGGGCAATTCTATATTAAAGACCGTCATTTTGAAACAGGATGCCCAATCAGCCCTTTTTAAGTGTGATGTTCAGGTGACTACAAATGTTTGTCTATATAGCATATCTGCTGAATGGAATTTCCTGATGAACTTGCATTTCTGAATATTGTTTCTGTAAACATTTCTACCTATATATCATTATGCTGCTTGATTCCTTCCTTTCCTCTTTCACAAAGTTACATTCAAAATGTGTCAATGTTCAGCAGAATGTCAGATGGCCTATACCTACTTAAGTCTAGTGAATGGGCTCAGGATGTGTAGATAAGCTCCTAGTCATCTCTGTAGGTGCAAACACTGTGGATTAATTAATCCTCAATGTTTCCAGCAGAAGTACTTTTATTCTGATCCACCTTCTATGAGTTACTTAGCAGTCTGCCAGACTTCTATTCTCAATGTAAGCACGGATTAGATACACAGGAAGAGGGCAGAGCAGAGTGCTAAGCCCAATTAATGGCTACATTCAAGAATTTGAAGATGAATTGCTGCATAGTGCCTTTGAGGACCCACTGCACCAGGAGGAACCTGGGACTCACTGCACCAGGAGGAACCCAGGACCCACTGCACCAGCATAGGGTCTGACAATGGGTCCAAGGATTTCATTCCGATACCTAATGGCAGTCAGGGTGCCATTGTGTAGCCTGTAGAGGTCTGTG